TAGTAGTTTTTCCAGTCAATGCAAGTGGAATTTAGGGAAGTGGTCAAGGAGGGGAAGAGGAACACTGCATGTGGAAAGATGCTGTTATCTGATCATTGACAATGTAAGCTCACTGAGAGTAGGCACTATACTTTCTATCTCTTTTAGCAATTAGCCCGGTCCTGGGTACCTAAAAGAAAAATGCTTATTGAAATGAAATGGATCTATGCTAGTATGGAGTATATCAAATAGGATTTGCATCAAATAATATCTTTCCAATAGTGGAGAGGGTGGGGTGTGAAGTTTGTTTTTCATAGGAAAAGCTTAAAAAGGTTAATGTTGATGATGAATTTTAGATCCAAAAAGCCTCTTAATCTTGGGGAAGAAGTACAGGATTGGGTATTGGGAGAACTTAGCTCTCTCTAGTGTCAGCTTTGCTAGACAAATCACTTCACCAGTCTGGATCTCAGTTTCCTCTAAAATAAAATGAAGTGATGGTACCAGCACACCCCTGGACACACCCCGTCGATTATGTGCATCTTGCCCCCATGTCTTTGGACAGGCCTGTTAAGTTTGCATCTCTTCTTCCACAGTTTCCCCAGTAAGGCAGCAGGGGGCAGACGAAGACCATCTTTCAATGGTCCCATTCGTTGGCCTCAGACATGAGAATGTGAATGATCACTTAGCTTACATGACTGGGTTCAGCTCAGTCCAGGGTGCAGGTTCGGGGGCGGGACCTGGATGTTGGTTTTGTGTGTGCTCAGAGCAGTTTGGGCTTGAGGATTTCTGGGATCAGGTCAAACCAGGCTGCAGGTGTATTTCACCTTCTAGGAATGATGTTTTCCTGAAAAGTTGCTAATTAAGCTGCCATGCTTTAAATCACATGGGGAGCTTAGGATGTGAAGGACTTCTATCTGAATCCTCTTAGAATCTGAAAGTTGCTTTGATTAATCAAATAATCACTTCCTTAATTTGTCTTTTCAGCAAATCTAGATAAGGATTTTTCATGTTTGCTTAAACTGAAGTACATTTCCGTGGAAAAGATGGCCCTTCATCTGGGCCTTGAAGGGTGGGTAGAATTTGAAAATGTGGCGAGAAAGTGAGAGTTCTTCCTAAGCAGAGGAGCACTGGGAAGGTGAATGGAAGCAGGAGTGGGCACACGTTAGGCATGGAAAAGTGAATCAGCTGTACACTGGGATGAACAAAGCACCCGCCTTGGCTGCTGGGTAGGATTTGGATAAGGGAAGGGAAACAAGGACAACGTTCTAGGCAGGGGGAAGATTGACCAAAGCACAGAGGCAGCTAGGTGGGTGCCATCATGATGGCCCTGGAGTCATGAAGACCTGAATTTATATCTGGCCTCAGACACTTACTAGCTGTGTGACCCTGGCTGAATCACTTAACCTCTGCCTGCCTCACTTTCCTCATTTAAAAAATGGGGATAATAGCACCTACCTCTCAGGATTGTTCTGAGGATCAAATGAAATATTTGTGAAGCATTTAGCACATCTAGCATCTAGTGCCTGGAACATAGCAGGCTCTATTTAAATGTTAACTTACCACTGTTATTTGCTTTCTTATATGCTCACTGCTTAGGTGTGTCTGACTTGTACTTTTGTCTACTTAAACCATAGGTGCTTAATCAGTATTTATTGAATGAATGAATGAATAAATCTGTAAAATGGAGATAATAATGGCACCTACCTCCCAGGCTTGTTATGAGCAGTAAATGAGATAAAATTTGTAAAAATGCTTAATGTAGTACCTGGAACATTGTAGGCTCTATTTAAATGATAACTTATTATCTCCTTTATTTGTTTTCTTATACAGATGTTTCAGTGCATCTGTCTTTCATTTTGTCTAGTTAAACTGTTCTAGTTGCATATCCTTGGGCAAGCTAACAAACTTCCTTGAATCATGGTTTATCTAGGAAATAGGAATAATAATATTAATAATAACAGCTAACTTGGGGCAGGTAGGTAGCACAGTGGATAGAGCACCGACCCTGGAGTCAGAAGGACCTGAGTTCAAATATAGCCTCAGACATTTGACACTTACTAGCTATGTGGCCCTGGGCAAGTCACAACCCTATTGCCTAGTGTTTCTCCCCCACCCCCAATAATAGCTAACTTTTATGTTATCTCATTACAATAACAATCTATAAGAAAACCAGTCAAGGAATATTTCTTTTTGTAAATTGTTTTTTTATCAATTTATTTTAATTTATCAACAATCATTTCCATAAGCTTTTGAGTTTTAAATAGTGAAGGAATATTTCAAACAGGTACCATTATTATTTCCTTCTTACAGAGAGGGAAATGGCAGGGCTGAGAGAAATAAATGACTTGCCATGGCCACACGTTTATATGACTAAGGTAGCATTTGAATCTGGGTCTTTCCTCTTCACTGAAACATTTTAAAACAATTTAGACACTTTCAAATTAGTACCACAGTATCCAAAATCAGGGAAGAGTTGTACATTGTCAGGATGCAAGAAATTTGTTGTCAGCTCAGAGAAACCACAATGGGAATAATAATAATAACAGCAGCTATAATAATAGCATTTGGATAGCATTTTAAGGTTTGTGAAACACTTTACAAATATCGTCTTATTTCATTCTCCTAACAACTTGGGAAGGTAAGTGCTATTATTATCCTCATTTTACAGATAGGCACCTGAGACAGGCAGAAGTTAAGTGACCTGCCCTGGGTTATACAGCTGGATTGGAACTCAGCTGTCCCTGACTCTGTGTCCAGTGCTTTATCTACCTAGCTAGGGAAGGTGGTCGACAAATACTACAGCATTAAGAAGTCGGATAATTATTAGGTTCATGATGACTACATCATTACATTTCAACTCCAGTTCTGCTGGCATTGAGGAGCTTGTATAGGACTGCGTTTGAACAAGTGTTTATATGCCCTGGAGGAGGGCACTGTCCACTACATTAAAGATTATATATATGTATATGTGTATACATATGCAATATATATGGATATACATGTGGACACAAACATCCATACACATGCATACATTCATGTACTCATATATGTATATAACACTGCAAACATGTGTAGTCACACACATGTGGATATATACATACATCTATGCAAATAGATGTGTGTATATGTAAATCATATATATATATATATACATCTTGTTGCTGTTTAGTCATTTTTCAGCTATGTTTGACTCTTTGTGACTCCTTTTGGGGTTTTATTGGCAAAGATACTGGAGTAGTTTGCCATTTCCTTCTCCACGTCATTTTACAGAGGAGGAAACTGAGGCAAACAGGGTGAAGTGAGTTGTCCAGGGTCACATAGGCTGTTCAGTGTCTGAGGCCAGATTTGAACTCAGGAATATGAATGAGTCTTTCTGACTCCAGGAGTTCTATCCACTGCACCACCTAGCTCCCCCTAAATTTGTTATTCTTGTTGCTGTTATATCTGACTCTTTGTGACTCCATTTGAGGTTTTCTTGGCAAAGATACTGGACTGGTTTGCCATTTCCTTCTGCAGCTCATTTTACAGATCAGCATATGTATATGTGCATATATGTAATCCCAGAAGTTCTCAGGGTGGTTCCCTGGCTTCCTAAGGGTGCTGTGCTTTATTAGACTTTTATCCCTATGTTTCCTCAATCTTGTAGGTGCCTTCAAGTTAGTATCCATGCTTTGCTTTAAGCCTGTTGGCCAAATAGTTATTTAAAAACTTGAATTATGCTCTCAGGAGAGAACTGAGAAAGAAGCTGAGGAATCAGTAGAAATGAGTCTCCTTAAGAAGAAGAGTTTGATTGGCTTTACAGGCCAAAGGCACTGTGTGGAGTAATTACTCAAGGACCAAGGAGGGTGGCCAAACCCAAAGCCTTAGATAAAATTAATTAAAAAATGTGCCTCTTTCACGATTCTGTTCCTGGGACTTGATTAGGTACTTGTAATTTGATTCAAAGCACAAGTTCCATTTCACCTTCTATTTTGTGGCATTGCCTTGGGTTTGAGGGTCCAAGTTCAGAGGCTGGAGAGAGGTGATCAGTCTCTTCTAACCAGCTTCCAACATTAAACAGCAGATGCTTTCTAAATGGAGGGTAATGTGGTAAGCATTATCTCCACACTACTAAAAAGGGAAAGATGAGTCTAAGGCAGAGGTGGGGAACCTTCAGCCTTCAGGCCACATGTAGCCTTCTAGGTCCTTAAGTTTGGCCTTTTAAATGAATCAAGATTTAGGAAACAACACGATTTTACAGGCCACATGTGGCCTGAAGGCAGCAGGTTCCCCACTCCTGGTCTAAGGTATAGCTTGTACAGTGAAGGGTGAAGGATATAGTATGGTTGGCCTGGGCCCAAAATGATAAAGGAAGAGGATGGGGCTGTAATGACCTCTGGTTTACTCTGGGCTTATGATGAATCTTCATGTCTCTATAGCCAATGGTGACCTCCTGGGTCTGGGACCAGGGTAGTTGGAGGAGGTCAGGAAGGTAGGAAGGCAGGAAGGCAGTAGCGAATCTTTGGAAGCAGTGTGATTTGAAGCTGGGTTGTTCTTGCTTATATGGAGGAAAAGTCTTGCTTTTAAAGTAATTTATTAGTTAAAAAAAAAAGTCTCATTTTTGATCTGGCCCTGAAGATTTGGAGAATGCTGATTGCCCAGGACGCAGGGGGCCAAGTTCATCGCCAGTCTTTCTGAATTGGCCTTTTGGGCAACTTAACTTTGGCACGCATCGAGTGCGCTTAGTAGCCTTAGACACCAGTGCCTATTATTTGGATGGGAAGCCTGTCCTTGCAGGTTTCTCACCATTATACCATCTTGGGGGTGGGGGAAATGGGGTTGGGAATGTCCTGTGGGCAAAGCCGACATAGTAAGCCTTCTCACAAAATCACATAGTTTTTTATTTTCATTTTTTAAACCTGTTGAACTTTTAACAGGCAAGGTCAGAGATTATAAGCAGTTAATAGACATCAAATAAATTAATATTAACCCTTGATATTCAAACAGAAAGTTATAATAAAAAAAGTATTTTTTATTTTTAGGAAGAGTCTATCAACATGAGGGTGGCAATGGCAGTTTCTCTATACAATAAATAAGTCGAGAGGACATTAGGAGTCACCTGGGTTCAACCTACTACTGACGGCAAAAATCCTTTGTGTAGATGATGGATGATCACCCAGGCTTTGCTTGGCTGCTCCCAGTGACAGAGAGCTCATTACCTCGTGACCATCTTTGGAGACCTGTAATTGTTAAAAAGTTCTTTTTTTTAATGTCAAGTTGGATGTTGCCTCACTAAAAATTCTCCCTTTTGACCCTAAGGAAGTTCCTTTCTTCATTTCTACGATCTTGTTCCGCATCTTGCATCTCTCTTGGGAGGTGGGTGGCATGCTTCATTTAGGGATTTTTCACATGGCCTGCTGCCAGGTCTCCCTGAGGGCCAGAAGCGAGCCAGATGAAGACAGAGTGGGTGAGGTCTAGGGCTGCTAATTGCCCTTTAGCAACCAGTCTGGTAAAAGGAGATGGGAGACTCGTGACTGGTAACTGCATGTTTGTGAGTCTTCACCTAGTTCAAGTGAATCTAGCGCTGGGCCTGGAGTCAAGGGATGATCTGAGTTCAAATCTAACCTCAGACACTTACTAGCTGTGTGACCCTGGGCAAGTCACTTCACCTTGTTTGCCTCAGTTTCTTCATCTGTAAAATGTGCTGGAGAAGAAAATGGCAAATCACTCTAGTATTTTTGCGGAGAAAAACCCCAAATGGGGTCATGGGGAGTTGGACACAACTGAAATGACTCAGCAACAACAGCAACACCTAGTTCAAAGTGAAGGGGAGAGAGAAGGGTGTGATGGTCGAGCTCATACAGGAACAGCACAGGGAGTAAAGTGGGGTAAATCACAGGATTCGAGCTGGAAGGAAGCTGAGAGGTCATTCAAACTCTCTCTGCAGGTGAGGAAATTGAAGTCCTGAGAAATTAAGTGACTCCCCTCAGTTCATATAATGAGCAGCATTTCAATCCAAGTCTTCCAATGCCAAGGCAGGCATTCTTTTCCAGACACCTGGGCCCCTATGAGGTCAGCAGCAGAGTAGCAGGGTTGGAAGAAATGGCTGCCCTCATTAGGGCGATAGGGTTCTTCTGATGCCCTGCTCTAAGGAGTGCGGATTTTGGAGGGACAGTGGAATTCTCCCTTCCTGAAGGTATTCTGAAGATACACCAGAGGCTACTTAAGGCAGGAGGCAATCAGCACAAAATATCCTGCCGAAAGTCTGTGGCATACTAGTACCTGCTACGTCCAAAGGAATGTGGGCTGACACGTAGAGCACGTGTAATAAAGGGGTAACTCCCTGGAAATCTTTTTCTTCCATTTGTAGGATACTCCTGAAGCTCTCCTTAGGCATAGGGTACCTTGGGGCAGCTGGGTGGAACAGTGGATAGAACAAAGGGCCTGGAGTCAGGAGGACTCAAGGACTCAAATTTGGCCTCAGATACTTACCAGCTGTTTGACCCTGGACAAGTCACTTAACCCTGTTTGCCTCAGTTTCCTCAACTGTAAGATGAACTAGAGAGGGACGTGGCAAACCACTCCAGTATTTTTGCCAAGAAAACTCCAAACACAACTGAAACAATTGAGCAACAACATAGTGTGCCATACTTTCTGGACTTTTTATAGTCTCGAAGCTGTCTTTCTTCAGTGTATCTAGTTTGTTCTTGGCTCTCAATGCAGACACCATGTCAGCTGTTCTAGATGTGTGTTAGGACTAGGATGCCCAAGGCTCCTCTTCTAAGGTATCTTTGCAACAAACTGAAATAATATGGAATTTTGAAATAATCATAAACTATTATCTCTGTATGGAAGTATGGACCAATGTGCCCATCATTCTTTCTTGGAAACAGGATGATAGATCCAGAGTTGGAAGGGATTTTAGTCCATCTGGTTTTAGTCCATCTCATTTTACAGATGGGGAAAATGAGGCATAAGGAAATTAAGTGACTAACACAGGTGGTTACCATCGGCAGAATCCTGTACCTCTTCTATGTCCTTGCCCAGCCCCTCTGACCTCCTGTAGCTGGCCCTCCCTCCTCTCAGGACTCTTGAGCCTTCCTGGTCCTAACATCTGCCCTGGGGCTGAGTATAAAGTTCTAATGTACTTCCACAGCCCCAGCAGATACCTGTCAGCCCACAGGCCTTCCAACCTTTCCCTTAGAACTCTGATCTTGATCTTCCTAGATCCCAGATCTCTCTGCTTAAAATTCTGGAGTCCCTGTCCAGACCAGGATGATGATTGTCATCAGTGGAGTCCCTAAACTGAGTTTATGCTGAGAAAAAATGACATCAGTCAGTCAACGAGCATTTATGAAATGCTTACTTATCGGCCAGCGCTGTATTCTATTGATTTCCCCAGTTTGGGGGAGGGAGGAGATACCTCAGGGTGCTGTCCCTGCTCATTCCTTTCTAATAGGGTCAAAGACCCCAAATGCCTCATGTGGTCTGGCAGGCGGATGGTCTCTGCAACATAAGTGGGGATTTTGTTCAGGCCGGCCTGGGCTGATCCTGATTAACACGCCCTCTAAGCTTCTAACAGCTGTGGAGTGGGCTGGAGAGCTTTGTTTTGAAAGGTAAGGACAGGGTACATACCCCAGGGAGGAATTTTACTTCAGGGTCTGGCAGATTGACTTGCCAGCAGCCAGGGGCTGCTAAACATTTTCTAAATGCCTCGGGCTTCACAACTGCATGTCCCTAAAGATGAACAGAGACCCCTACATTCCCCATCGCCTTTCAAGGAAACATTTCTTGCAGAGGGGAAAATTGGAGAGAGAGATGGAGGCCTAGGGGAACAGTCAGCAGCCTGGAAAGGCCCTGAATTCGAGCGGGGAAGCTTCATTTGCATTCACCTGCAATTTCTCTAGAGGAGAACTCAGTTTCACTAAATGGTGATTCCTCTGAGCCGGTCCCCAAGATCACCCGGAGCCTATTACAGATCCAGATTCTTGGGCAGGGCTGTTTCTCACAGAGCTGAGCAGCTAACTTTGCAAGGCCCAGCCAAGTGACTGCAAACCCAGGCAGGGTTGGCTTGGTTCCACTAATGGCTTTCAAAAGGGAAGAGGACCAAATGTACCGGATTTCACAAGGAAGGCTTCTGCCATGTGGGGCTGTGGTTACCAAATGGCTCTGCTTGCCTGGGAGTCGTGTTTCCAGATAATGAGGGGTTATTTATTGCACCACAGGACCAAAAGACTTTCCCTTGCTTTGTGAGCCGGCCAACTCGAAGACGCCTTTCACGTTAAATTAAAATTGATACCCCGGGCAGCAACAAAAAAAATCCAGCCTTTCCCTCTTCCTCTCTTTCTCCTTTTCCACTTTACCCTTTCCCCTTTTTCCTCTTTCACCTTTTCTTTCCTCCTTTCCCTTTTCATCTTCCTCTTTACTTCTTTCCCTCTTCCCTATCCCTTTCTCCAGCCTTTTTTCCTTTTCGTTTGCCCCTTTCCCTTTGTTCTCTTCCCCTTCTCCTTTCTCTCTTTCACCCATTTTCTCCTTTCCTCTTTTTCTCTTTTCCATTCTTTTCTCTTTTTCTCCTTTCTACCCTTTCCTCCTTTCTCCTTTTTTCTTTTCCCCATTCCCTTTTTCTCCTTTCTCTTCTTTTTCATTTTATTTATTTATTTATTTATTTATTTATTTATTTATTTATTTATTTATTTATTTATTTATTTATTTATTTATTTATTTTTTAAGGCAATTGGGGTTAAGTGACTTGCCCAAGTTCACACAGCTAGTAAGTGTCAAGTGTTTGGTCTGATTTGAACTTAGGTCCTCCTGACTTCAGGGCTGGTGCTCTATTCACTGCACTACCTAGCTGCCCCCTTTAAAATTTTTTTTAAATAAGTTTTTATTGATATATTCTATTTTTCTTACATAACTACAGTTTCCTCCAGTAGCTTCCCCTTCTTCCCAGAAAACCATCCCATGTAACAAATAATAATTTTTAAACAAAAGAGAAGAAAAGATAGGAAAAAATCAGCATAACTGATCAATATGTAAAAACAACAACAACCTAAAAAAAACCCCCCATGCATTATACAATACTAGTAGACCTGTCTGTCTCCTCTTCAAAGGAGTGGAATGGGAGTGCCTTCTTTTCTCTCGAACCATACTTGTTCGTTATACTTTTGCAACATTCATTTGATTTTTTTAGTGGTTCTTTCTGTTTACATTATCGTAGTCATTGTGTATATTGTTTTTTCAACAAATACTTATTAAACACCTGTTTTGTGACAAGTTCTATGTTAAGTGCTGAGGATACAATTAAGAAAAAGACAATCCTTGCCTGAAGGAACTTGCAATCTAAAGGGTTTACACAATACCCAAAGAGAGCTAAAAATAGGGCAGGTGGTACCTGTGGTCCCAGGTGGGGGCCCACAGTATTCCTTGAAGTCCAAACTAGGCAGAGATGCTGAAAGTAAGTGAAGAGTGACCTGGAAAGCTCAGATATAAGCCCTCTATAAAGGAAATCTTTGGGAGGAATTGAGTGCTTTACCCTCTAGCCCTCTAATCAGAGGGGAAAGGAAGGTGAGGGAGTTGAGAAGTTGTTGAATATCCAAAACTGAGTTAATTAGCATCTTGATGATATTTCAGGTATTCCATTAATGTAATGCATTCCACGTAATATTCCATGACATTCATGTGCCATAATTCCTTTGGGCAGAACACCCATAGGGAGAGGAAGGAGGAGGGGCAGAGAGAGAGAGAGAGAGAGAAGAGAGAAGGGAAGGAGGGAGGGAGGAAGGAAGGAAGGAAGGAAGGAAGGAAGGAAGGAAGGAAGGAAGGAAGGAAGGAATGAGGAAGGAATTGTGTTGCCCAACTGAAGGTTGGGTCCCCAGCGGAGCAGCTTGGACTACTCAATTCTTTTTTTTTAAAATTAATTTATTTTGATTCATCAATAATCACTTCCATATGCTCTTGAGTTTAAAATTTTTCTCTCCCTCACTCCCCACCACCCTCCTCAAGACGGCATGCAATCTGATATAGGCTATACATATAAATTCCTATTAAACATGTTTTCACATTAGTGATGTTGTAAGGAAGAATTAGAACTAATAGGAGGAAGCACCAGAAAGAGAAAACAAAACAGAAGAAAAAAAAAACCAATAGTATGCTATTATCTGCATTCAAACTCCATAGTTCTTTCTTTTGATGTGGATAGCATTTTCTATCACAAGACTTTTGGAGATGTCTTAGATCCTTGCATTGCTGAGAAGGGTTAAGTCTATCAATATTAGTCACTTCACAACATGGCTGTTA